AGTAAAACACACCCATACACAGAAACCACACGGACACTTGCTTCAAGATCATTCTGTGTGACTGAAAAACGTCATCATCTACAGCTCCTCCCAGCGGTCCCTGCTTGGTCCAGTGTATGAACGGAGGCAGTTGTTTCCTGAACGCCCACAAGCAGCCAAAGTGTCGCTGCCAGCCTAATTATGGAGGAGATCGATGTGAGATTGACCAGTGCAGGGACTACTGCAAGAATGGAGGCACATGCACGCCTTCCCCCACAGGTAAGATATGGATATTGCAAGCTGTTTTTGGTATTTTGTAATTAAATGCAAAGCTTAAATAACACTGTGTTTCTGTTGGCCCTGTAGTATCAGTATACCTATACCTATAGGAATTTGACTCCGGTCTTACATTGCTCTCAATATACATATGCAGAACAAGCATAAACAAACAGGACCAAAATATCAACAAAAAAACAGATTCAAACTACCACGTACAGATACACACAAACATCAAAACAACAACATTTGTAGACAGCAAGACAATTGTGCAAATGAACAGAGTGCAAAGGGTTACAACAATGAAAAATAGTCAGGTGAAGCGGATGTTGAGAGATATGTCTGCCCTTCCACAGGCTCTCCTACCTGTCGATGCCTGACAGGCTTTACAGGGCCAAACTGTAACCTGCACACCTGTAAGGATTACTGCAAAAATGGAGGCAACTGTTCAGTCAGCGCTGGAAACCAGCCAACCTGCCGCTGCCCCTCTGACTTCCTAGGCGACCAGTGCCAGTACAGTGAGTGCTCCCACTGTCTAGCCGGCACACACGTTTACAAATGTTTAAATACTTCTTCTGACCAATGAGGAACATAACAGTAAAGACAGAACTGCAATCGGAGTACCTGTAGTAAATTATGATGTGGCTGTTAAGCAGTACACTTACATGTTTATGTTTATATACGTGTGTGTGTTTGTGTGAGCAGGAAGCTGTGAAGGCCACTGCCTGAACAAAGGTACGTGTCTACAGAGTGAAAATGGATCCAAACTGTGCCGCTGTCTGCCTCAGTACACTGGCAGCACGTGTGAGATTGACAAGTGCCACTATTGTCGTGACGGCGAGTGTATCCCCAGCACTTATAGGTCTACAGGGGACTTCACCTGCCGGTAAGAGCGCTCACACACACACACATTTCTTTTACCGCCAACATACGTGCACATGCAAAGTTGTCTAGTCTTTCTCATTGCTACTCACAGTTTGTTCTATTTTCAACAGCTGCACAAATGGAAGAGTCCTGCCCAGCTGTTACACATGTGATACAAATGAGTACTGTGCAAACGGCCAGTGCTCTATAAACCCCATAACCCGCCTTCCAGAGTGCAGGTGAGGAGCAGTGTTTACAACCATAATTGTTAACATTTGAGTCTAAATATCTCCCAAGAATTATTGCATACATGAATATCTCCATTTCGCCTCTCTCTTCTTGTGTGTGTGTGTGTGTGTGTGTGTGTGTGTGTGTGTGTGTGTGTGTGTGTGTGTGTGTGTGTGTGTGTGTGTGTGTGTGTGTGTAGATGTTCACCTGGCTGGTCAGGGCATCGCTGTGAGTCCGTGGCCAGTAGTAATGGTGGCTCAAGTTCAGGCGGACGTAAGTCAACACTTTCGCCACATCAAAAATAGAAGTTTCTTGAGTAGATTGGATGATTAAGGGTGACTTTGCTAAATTTCTCTATGTTTGTGTGCATAGGCACAGCCTCCATAGTGATCCCCGTGCTGCTACTGCTGCTGCTGGTTCTGCTTACTGCAGGAGCGTTGTTCTGGTATAGAAGGCGGATGAGAGGGTGAGTAACAGCAACAACATCTAAACAAGTGACAGTCAAGACCTCTTTTTGCCTTTATATTCTTTCTTTCTTTCTTTCCCTCCCTCTTTCTCTTCTTTCCTTTCGTCCGTCTATACTTTTCCTCTCCTCTGTAATGGCATCTCTTCTGTTCCTCAGGTCTAGCCGGCCCGGCAAAACCGGCTCCAGACGCTTGCGGTAACGGTTGCCAGGGTTACACTTTCCTTCCATACCCTCATTCAGTTGTGCATCCTGATGCTCTCTCTCTCTCTCACTCACTCTGTCTTTTCCTTACCCATAAGTTGCAAGTCATAAGTCTTGCTGTGCAGTGTTTTGTCCTGTGATGAATGTCGCACCATTCCCTCAGATGTTCGTGGGAGCTGTAGCTCCTGCAGAATCTCTCCTGTCTGATCGCCCAGAGCGGCTCAAGGCAGATCTATTGAAAAGATGCATTGAATAGATCTGTCTACACACTAGCCAGTGCTGTAGATCTGTCATGCTGTTGTCCATCATATAGTGCCATTTTGTACTTACTGTACTGTGCTGTGGTTTGTTTTGTGGTAGCGTCTCTCAAAGTGAGAGGTGGACAGTGTGACAGCATTCTTCCAAGCTCAGATTGGAAAATGCAGTGTGAAAAATCCAGCATTTCTTTGAGGCAGGTACCATAGTCGATGCAGATATTCATAGTATATTTTAGAGGGTCTCTTGTGGATTAATTGTCGTCATAAAGGATAGTCCTGTATCCAGGTCCACTGTGCCTGGATCTGTAATGGGCTACATGAATGCTGGGTTTGTGTTGGTGCCTGTACTGTGGCTTAGTTCCTTCAGCCTGGATGGTGTTGAGAGTCATGTGATGCCTTTTACCTCCCTTCATATTGTGGCTGTGTCCCCGCTTGCAGTGTTTAGGCTCTTATAACCTTGAATAAGACACAGGTCTGACTGTGCCCTTGTATCTTGTGTAGGGCAAAGGGCTTCCAGCACCAAAGGATGACCAACGGGGCCATGAATGTAGAGATTGGAAACCCTGCCTACAAGATCTACGAGGGCGAGCCAGATGACGACGCCGGAGAGCTGCTGGACGCAGACTTCACGCTGGACCCAGAGAAGGTGCAGAAATAATACCAGACACACATATATATATATACACACATTACATAAATGCACATATATATTTTATCTAATGGATGATTTTTGACCCTTTCTAGCCCACCAACTTTACAAACCCAGTATACGCCACTCTGTACATGGGAGCTCACAACAGTCGCAACTCTCTGGCCAGCACAGATGAGAAGAAGGAGTTGCTGTCACGTGGAGACGAGGAGCCCCTTGTGGACCCCCTGGCATAGACTGTCCATTGGCGCAGATCACGCAATTCAAAACACACCCCACTTCTTGCCTTTAAAAGAAAAATAAAACGGAGAAAAAAAAATTGACAAAGTGTGAGAGAAAATTCATAAAAAGTGTGAACACTGTATAAAATGTACAAAAATGAAGGACTACTTTTGTATGTGATTGCAGTATTATATTTTGTTCTTTTGAGATTCCTCTGGTCAAAAATGAATAACATTTTCTATGAGAGATTTTTAATTTACACTTTGTCCCTTACCCTTTACCTAAATAGCCACTACCTCTGTGCAAAATGAAATGGAAACAAGAAAATCAGAAGAAAAGACGCTATCATTGGAGCAATTTTAATTTTTTATTTTTGTATGAATTGTATAGAAAAGAAAAAAACATTGTTCCATTTCACCAGTGCCAACTGTTTGTTGTTCGTGTTGACTTTGAGCGGGAAAGGCAAAACTCAAAGTTTTCTAAATCGGTACATAATGTTGTCTTGCTGGGTTTCTCAGCAAGACTGTGTGAGACAGATTTGTGTATAGCACATGTAAACTCTCAATACCAGATGGCAACTACAGTATTTCCACATAATTTCTTCTCAGAGAACAATGTCCATAAAATGATTGTGTTGTCTTCCTTGCACAGAATTCACATTTTACGGTATAGTGTGTACTGTAGGCTTTATACCGTAAGATGTAAAACAGGTATGTTTGTTTTTAATCACATGGGATGACAGTGGAAGCTCATGTGTTGCTGAAGTGAGAGGATGAGAGGCGTTTTGGTGTGCGATTACGGAGTTGGAGAGTGAGGAAGGTGGTCTTGGGTTAAACATTCCAGGCAGAGTGGTGGGTGGAGGGAACCGATGTAAAGAGATGTAAATGGTGAATGCCTCCATGGGTGAGCAGTGGGCTGTGCGTGCATGCCCACACCACAGCTCGCTAGTAATGGGAGGGCCACGGCAGATCCAAGACTTAGATAGACAATGTCATGTCTGTGTCATTTAGTTGTCTGTTACAAGGGTCTTCCTCCAGAAGGAAAGGGAGGCTGCAATTATGGTAAAATGGAAGGAAAAAAATTATCGAGATGGGTCTTTGGCTTGTCTTTTATTCCTCCAGTCTTTTTTTTTTTTTGTAAAGACCAGACAACATCCATCTGGTCTTGTGAGTAGATTTATCTTTCTACTATTAGAGGATTGAAGTCTGTACGTTCACAGTTTTGTAATGACTCAATCTTAAGTGCATTATGTTGATTTGGTCCTTAGCATTTCTCTGCTCTTCTTGAGCTCTTTCTAATCTCTCACTCTCCTCTGTGCCCTGCTGCTGCTAATGCAACCATTCTGGTCGCTCTGACACGTCCTTACGCTCAGCCTGTCCCAAAATGCTGCTTCTGTCAGAAATGTGTCAGCCATATCTTAATGCATGTGAAAAGTAACACCAATCTTTAATGTAACAACAATAACAAGTTTTGTTTTTATTTTGCTTATCTGTCAGCAAGTGTTATTGTATGCTGTTGTATATGTTTTGTCTTTAATTGAGAGAGAAGTACAATCATTTTACCTAAAGAACATTTTTGCAAAATCATACATGCATTTTCAGAATTGTTTTTTGATTAGTCCTTGTGTTTTTTTTAAATGAACAATGACATATAGCTTTTATAGTACACGATGCATGGAGGCGCAGGCTTTCTTCTGGAAAGAGAATAATGTTTAATTTTTGCTGGAGTACTTTACAAACTAAATAACAGATATTGTTATAAATAAAATTTTAAAAATTGTACAGAAGACAAACCAACGTATTGTGTGTTTTTTTCCACACCATTTGCTGATAAATGAAATAATACTGTGACCAGTCAGTGTAGGTTGATTAATAATTTATTAGGTAGTAAATCAGACCATGTGTGCTGTATACATAAAAGCTTAGGTCAGTGGTGGATGAAGTACAAAAATCCTGTATTTGAGTAAAAGAACAAAAGAACCTGCTTTTAAAAATACTTCAGCATTAAAAGAAAAACAGAAAACAGTAAATCAGACCATGTGTACTGTAGACATTAAATACAGTTACACTGATATATGCAGATTTAAGTCTTATACTGAAAACTTTATTGGTGAGGATAATACATGTTACTAAACCATAAAGTCTAAAGCTGTTAATGCTGTCGGGTGCACCTCAATACCCCTACTGATATGAAAAATAACAAGAACAGAGAGCATACAGCCATATGTGCATTCCTGTAAATACATGTTGTAAATACTATCAGGATATGAAAATTCTTAAGTGAATTTCAGTGGCACCACAGTGTTGAGTGAAGCTCAGAGGTGATGTGGCAGTCTTCTGGTACAGATGAAGGAGAGCTCTGACAGCGTGGCTCTCCATTGACACAGATCTTTTGTAGCAAGCTTTGACTTTGCCTTGACTGATTCCTTCAAGTCCACACCAAACTTAGCTTTGATGGCTACGTGCTCATCGTAGGAAGTAGTCATCAACCTCAAGTAGCCCTCCTCCATGGTTAGTCCAGCAACAACGAGAGGGTCTTTGATGCTCCCGCCTATGTTCAGTGAAGTGTTGAAGTTTTCTGTTATGCATTTAAGTACTTACTGATAGCATCTTGTTTTTGTCTTGGCCCACATACGGTCATTTCTTCAGAGGACAGGGTAAGCATGAGCTTGTTCTCAGGTCACATCCACTTCTGCCTCCATTTGAACTCCATTCTCTTTCTCGATATGTTGAATTTCCTCCTTGTAGATGTGGTTCACATACCAGTAATGGCGCACTGGGACAGAACAAGGAAATGTCTCCTCTACTGCTGTAGAAACTGCTCCTGCACTGCTGAAACTACTTTGTTCCACCTACTTCACTCGCAGCTGGACAAAGATACAAAGCAGTAATTTAGTAAAAAGCATTCATTATTTATGTAATTCATTCCTACTGATTTACTACTCAGCACATACATCTTCCACCTAGATAAAAAAAACAATGAATGAATAAAAACGAACTTAATGTGATTCATTTGCACTTCTTTGCTGCACGGTACATACATCTTGTGGCTCTGAAACGCATGAAGCAGGAAGGTCCATTGAAGCTTCCTCTGGTATTTGTGTCTTCAGCTCTGGTGGTGTCACACTAACAGACATTATTGTGATGGTTCTCCCATCTCACCTGGTCAGTGTTTGTCCACTCAATTTCTGAAGCTTACTCAGGGCTTACAAGAAGAAAAGATGACAAAATAAATTTGCCTCCAAAACAAAAAAAGAAAAGAACAACAAACTGAATTGCAAAACCAATATTAATACAGGATGCAGCTTAAAATTTATTGTATTAGACTCAACATCAAATGTTTGTAATAAATGTGCAATTACATTTTTGCTTTGAAACAGTCATACTTTACCTGCAGCAGGTTTAAGCGTTATCACAGCTCTCCCATCTTCTGATACATTTGAAATGTAGCATTCTCCTTTAAATTGTTGGACCAAGTCTGAAGAACCTTCTCTAATTCTACTTTACATTTCTGTGGTTGAGCACCTTCTGACCACCTGACTGAGAGAGCGACTTAAACTTCATCTTCGTCTTGTGATAAAGTCATCAGAGCCAGAAAACATGCTACAGTAAATGCCAGTGTATTACTAACAAGATAGCAGAAACTCCTCCATGCCATTCAGCTTAGTAAAATGTCTGGTTTAAAAATAACTTGTTCTAGAATTGTAAGAATAGAAATACAAAGTGAATGACTCCACTGGCACAGTCTCAAAACAGAGAAAAAGCAAATGATTACTTATTTATACTTAAATTGCAGTGATGTTGAAGTTAGCTCCTTAGTTATAATATTGCTTTCATGTTCTCTATACTATATTGGGGGTAATATACTATATATGTGTTGTATAAATATGTAAATGTTGTGTTTTAACTAAACTAACATTGCTTTAATGGAATTAATTATACATACTGTTAACAACATTCTGTGCTGTATAATAATAAGTGGTCATCCTCAATACAGCAGAGAGCAACAGGCTGTGGTTATTTGGAACTGGCATAGTCTGTCCTTCATTTTCATTCTTTTACTTTCCCCTACACAGAAAATCATACAGGCCTGCTGGAACTCAACCTGCATTTTCTAAGCACTGATTTTTAGTTTCTAAAAAGTGCTTATGTCTTGGAAATGGAAAAAATTACTCTGCAAATGGTTACACACTCTACAACAGTTTGAAGTGATATGTGTTATTGAACATGTGAGCACACACACTGCTGGTTTTCATTCCCTTCAGTACACTATAACCATGAAGACAGGATATTTAAATTAAAAAACACAATTGTGGTACTTAATACTTAAAAACACAAAGAATTTTCAATGTTCAGCTTCAGTTTGCAGACTTGTCTAATGCAGCTCCTCTGCGTCACTGCCTGAATATGAATTCATGACCCATTTGTCTCACCTTCTCCTGGCTTTACTTTAAACGCTGCTTCTTCCTGATAAATGAAAACGAAAGTGTTGTAGCTCCACGAAACGAGTGACGTCACACTGAAAGACCCACACCATTACAAACAAACGCAGCTGCGGACTTTTCACGATGCTGAAGTTAGCTTCCGATAACTTACGTTGCTGAGCGACCGAATCTCCGTTTTTTGCACCTCTTACTGTTATTTTAGGCAAAGCCTTAACGCTATCTGAAACACTTTTTTAGATTTGAAAAAACTTTATTTTATTTGTGAAAATGACAACATGCAGACCACATTAGACCAGGTCCAGATCCAAAACCACTATACCTAGAGCTCTCAAATCTGGACTAGATTGTCCGACAGAGGCTAAAGTTTCAATCAAACATAGTTTCAGATTTGTGAAACCTTTATTCAATTTGTGAAAATGCTTTAAAGGACGATTTCACTGCTTTTTTCATGTGTAGACCACATTAGACCAGGTCCAGATCCAAAACCACTTTACCTAGAGCTCTCAAATCTGGGCTAGATTGTCCAAGAGAGGCTAAAGTTTCAATCAAACATAGTTTCAGATTTGTGAAACCTTTATTCTTCTTGTGAAAATGCTTTAAATGGCGATTTCACTGCTTTTTTCATGTGTAGACAACATTACACCAGGGCTTGATCCAAAACCATTACACCTAGAGATCTCAAATCTGGACTAGATAAAACGTGGTTTTAGATTTGGGAAGAATGTATTCTGTTTGTGAAAATGAAAAAAGGGTGATAGTTCAATGCTTTTTTCACACCAAGTGACCTGGCCTTACAGCCTTTTGACAACTCTGCCTCTGATTGGTTAGTACTCCACTGATTAGGCTGGTTAAGGTTGGGGTTATGATGGGATTAGGGTTAGCCAGTCAGAGTCAGAGTAGGGGGCAGGATATGAGGCAAAATGTGTTTTCTTCAAATGATATTTGTTGGATAAATGGTTGGGAAAACATGTAGTATATGTTGTGATTTTTTATTTAAGTATTCCAGTTTTTAGCTTTTTCCTGTCTGCCATAAGCCTGTATCTGTTTAAACTGGTGTCTTGTGTTATCACTGTAGACACAGTAAACTCTGTAATTATCTTGCATTTTGAGTCTCTGAGTCTGTCAAAGTCCAGAGCCTTCATAATGCAAATAAATAAGAACATATTAAACACATAGTAAAACACTTAAATGCATTGATTAATGTAATGGAATGTACAGTAACTAAGTACATTTTGTACTTTTATTTTGGAGTATATTCACAGTGTGGTAGTACTTTTACTTAAGTATAAGATCTGAACAATTCTTTTACCTCTGATTATGTTTATGATGTGTTTATATATTGTATAGATTATGTATTTACTATGTACTAACGATAGACATCATCTACAGGCATCAACAGAGAAATTGCAAAACCTCCACTCTCAGTTACATCCAAATAAAACCCAATATTAACACATTAATGCATTGATTCGGCCCATTTTTGTAGCTCTAGGTACACAGTTTGGTTTAATATGGTATCACTGTGTAACAAACTGCAACAAAAACAAAAAAATATGTAGCACTACAAATACAGTTTATTTACTTTTATAAGGTTAGCAATATTGCTAACAACCTTATGCCAATAATGCCTCGACCATGGAGAGTTTTTCCGGTTGTGTCCATTCTGCTGACATTACCTGAACGCATCACAAGTAACAGGACATGAGATTGGCTGGTTTGCGCGGGCAACCAGGTCTACTTCATGGTATATTACAAAGTTTTTGCAGTAGCCCAACTTAGTGAAATCGTCCTTTAAAGTATTTTCAGAAATTGAATAAAGGTTTCACAAATCTGAAATTATGTTTGATTGAAACTTTAGCCTCTCTTGGACAATCTAGTCCAGATTTGAGAGCTCTAGGTATAGTGGTTTTGGATCTGGACCTGGTATAATGTGGTCTACAAGTGGAGAAAAAAGTGTTTCAGACAGCGTTAAGGCTTTGCCTAAAATGCATAAGAGCTTTCACAGCAGTAAGAGGTGCAAAAAACGGAGATTTGGTCGCTCAGCAACGTAAGTTAACTTGCACTTAATTCCCCCTTAACTGCCGAATCGGAAGCTAACTTCAGCGTCGTGAACTTTTCTCTATTAATAACTGAAGTCAGCTTTAAAAGATTTTTTACTCACGACATTAGGCTACAATTTGGAGGTACCGCTGCTTAACTTTATTTTACTCCATTTCAGGGGAAATGCTGTTTAATATATTTATTATGCCACTTTATTTGGAAGTTACTTTACAGACCCAGCAGCAACTTTAGCCTATTATAAAGCGGATAAACTTAGACCCACCTTCACTTGGACCATTAAAATGATACTTAAGCATTAATGCATCAATAATGTTTATCTAATATTTAGATTATATGATGCACAATACATATTGTCGTGTTCTGACCTTGAAATGAGCTAACGTTAGGCTAACTCAGCCTAGCGTTACTTCTTCTGGATGTGCGTGGGTGGAAATCACTTCACACGAAAAGGAATATCCGTTTATGAACTTTACTGAACTTCAGCAGGTGAGTACAAAGATACAGCTGTTTACTCCAGAGAAGGCAGTTATGCTGGGGGTTTGGACTTAGCTAAACTCGGGCACAGAACATCAGGCTAGCGATGTCCGTGCTATATAGTCACAAGTCCCGTTTTACAACAACATGCTACACTTAGCAACAAGCAACCAGGGCCGTTAAATAAGGGCCCTGCAAGCAACATCTTAGGTAAGGTGAGGGAAAGGAGGTAAAACTTAGCTATTACCCAGCAAGCGATAGCCGTCATTTTACCATCTAGGTTTACTATAGACCTGATTTAGTACGGCTATGAGTAACCCACTTCTAGCTGCAATAACTTTACATGTGGTTACATGCCGTTTTTGCCAAAATAACTTAAAATGTGTATGATATTCCATCATTTAAGCAAGGTCTACAGTGATTACAAGGTTTTTTTGTTTCATTTCATACATTTACGTGCTGCCTGTGCGTAGACACGATTTAGCTCGTAGGCAGACCGGCTATTTGTAGCCCACTTTTAGTCAAAAAAGTAAAAAATGATTAAAAGTGGGTCTTTGCCCTGGTAGCATGTGTTTCAGACCAAATAGGTTACATGTAGTTTTCACCCATGCAGCTGTTGAGGTGCGTGATAGCATTTCATCAAATGCAAGTAAACGTTTGAAACATTTAAATTATCTTTATTTTCGCTGTAACGTTCCTTGCATTAACTTTCATTTTCATTTTAAACTAAATGCAATTACTATTTTCTTTATTTAGATGGCAGCTGTAGCCCTACTGACACATGACTACTAGCAACGCGAGACTTGAAAGATAGACATCAGGGACGGCCATATCTCGCGATAAAGACATCCGCCTTTTTTAAACGAGGGATACGTTACGATTTCGGCCCTTCAGCGAGCAACGGGCGAGAGTTTACTGCAAACACTGGAAGCGAAAAGACATTTACTTTGGTCTTGTAAGTATCTGTGTCTTTGTTTGACATGTCTTCATTATTTATCTACATTATATGTTAACGTGTAGGAACCGGGACATTTCAGCGGGTAACAGTGTAGAGTACGGCACGTTGTGGTTAGCTTAACATGCTGCATGCAAGTGTAACGTAACGTTACTCCATGATACCCACGGGTTTCCTCATGTCCTCACAAACTCTTTATTATCTGAATTCAGAAGGGATGAACATAAAACATGTACAACCTTACCTATTACAATTTGTAATGAAAGCCACACATATTTTACTCACTAGATCATTATGATATGAAAATATGAGCTTTTGACACTTAATATTTATTTCAAATTCTCCAGCATACAGTCAGCAAAGACAATAATAAAGATTCGGAGCAGAACACTTCACAGCACATAACGTTAGCTCTCTCAAAAGAATAAAAGCAGCTTTCTCAATTTGGTTGTTCTAATGCAACATGGCTAAAACATGTGTCCTGTTCAAGTATCTTTATATTTTCCATAGAGATAAATGGGTCAGTAATAAATACTTTTAAATTAAAAAGAAAAAAACGTTATAAATATAATGATAATTAGAAATATACTGTATGTTTTCATTTAAAATCATTTGATGATAGTAGTCATGTCTTATGGGAAAACAGTCAATATAGTCAAATTATAATGTTTACTTATATTTATGTTCTTACATATTCAACAGTTATGCATCCCATTTACCTGGGAGACTGGCGCCAACCGAGAGACCCATCTGATGCTCTTCCTGCATCAAGTAGCAGCGTAGATGAAGATCTAGATTTGGATGTAGCCAACCAATTTATTTTATCATTATTTGTGTTTTTATTACCGTATGTTGTTAAAATTGTTTGTATTTTCATATATATGAACTGTTTTGTATTTATAATATTTTAGCAATAATTCCTTTATATTTTCATCATGCTGTATTATCTTAAGTTATCTATATTGTAATCCATTTTCTTAATAAAATCTTTATATTTAATTTGTTTGGACAGATTACCATTTGTGAGAACCTGTTTTGTTTGAGTAAAAACAATCCTTTAGCCACTATTCTGTCTATTAGAGGTAGATATGTAGTCATTTAAAAGCTGTGTATTTGGTCTATTCTTGGGCTGTGGTTAGACGTCTTTTAACTTTTTACTGACAGCCCAGATTCAACCTTGTTTTAGCCGAGACCCATTTTCACCATCTAATACACGTCTATATGTAGCCGTTCAATGGTGGTCTAATTGATGACTAGCCTAGTTTTGAGCTATGGTTAGACGTCTACCAAACTTTCACTGACAGCCCAAATTCAGCCCTGTTTTAGCCTAGATGTCTGGGCACTGTTTAGACGTCTTTTAACCGTGAAATTGCTTGCTGGGATTGGAGCTGTGTGGTCACCCATGTATTTCAATATCTTTATGCACAAAAGCAGAGCCACAATTACAAGCTGTGTTTTACCATATTTCATGATCTAAAAATCCAAAAGTGACAACAGGGCTCTTTTATGGTGCTGGATGAAGGAGTGGTGTGTTGCTTTGTCCTGACAGTCCAACATTTATTTAAAGAGAGAGTGACGGTAGGTGACTGGGACCAGCCTTGATACTATCATCAGTCCTTAAACCCTGCACAGGCTCAAATCACCAGTCTTGGGACTCAATTTGACTTTTATTTTACTTTACACAGGTTTGAACAGTGCATGGCTTTCCCTGATGTCTCATAAAATAGAATTAAACCCAAGAAAGGCAGTAAGACTTGAAAGCCCCAGAGCCAGAGGAGATGCTTTTTTACTCAGTAATGCTCACCAGGTTTCACATATAAGTAGGCCTACATAACTAATGAGAACTACAGGCTGCATTAAAACATTTAATCTACTTAACATAATAAGTATATAACACTGGAGAATATTCCAAAGGAAAATAAAAAGTATACAACTCCACAGATTTGTTGTGGAAAAGTTTTTTTTGTTGTTGACACAGAAGGGGCAGCAGTAGATTGTTGAAGCGAGTTTTTAGCAGTTATAGCACCATACAAAGAGCAGCTGGAAGGCAGGTGAAGTTCTGCAAACCCTTCAAACTCAATGATTAGCTTCCTCTGGTAGCAGTGCCAGCCTTCTCTTTGATATAAACACAAGTCCAAAGGTCAAAACCTTATTGCCTTTTCGCGCCACAGAAGGGGGTAGAGTGACCTCTGCTGGTTGAGCTCCCACATAGCAAGAAGGCCTATAAATATGTTACGAAACTAAAATATAAATAAAATAATAGAAACTTCCATAAATAGGCTAACTGCTGTCCTAAACTACATATAACATTAGTTCACTTGTCTTAATCTGAAGTTGCAAGTCACCAGTGGTCTTACAAATGTTTAGTTCTCCCTAACAGCCAGAGTTATTATTTTATTAGTTTTAATGTTTATTTAAGTTAACTAAAGTGTTTGTTTCACACCCAGTGTTAGTTTAGTTTTACTAAAAAACGTTACTTTAGTTTTAGTCTAAAATCATCTTTAACTATATGTTACATGGGCTACTTTTATTTTGAGGGTTTTACCGGTTACTATCTGTTCCAAAAAAAGCAATAGACCACGTGACTTCCGTTTATGATCTATAACGAAAAACGAATTGACTGAAGTTCACACGACCATGGTACGTTTTAACCGTTTGGCTTTTTTTGTATAATTAACAAAGGCAGAAACCAGAAACGGGTCGTTTTTCCGTTTTTTCAATTTTGGGCCCGAAACGAAAAAAACAACATTCAGTTTGAGTGTTCGTTCTTTTTTTTCTTTTTTTTTATCAAAACAAAAACACGAATTTATTACTCAATATTTCCTTTCATTGGTGGGTGGGACTTCATCAACCACTTGATTCTGATTGGATAGTGTGCTCCATCACTTGTCTTTGTCCTTAAGGTTACTTTTCAAAATTAAGGTTCTCCCAAAGAATTTCCAATCCTGCTGTGGCTCTCCCTCTTTGCCTTAAGACAATGCAATGTCTCCACAAAAATATACACTTAGATGACAGTTTATTAGTGAAAACTAATTAAATAATGCAATTAATCCGCCTTCATGATTAAGAGATTAACAGTTTATGAGAGGTAGCGATTCAACTGTATGATCAGTTTGGAGCATGTTTGTGATGAATTAAACAAAGGCTTTTCTGTTATTTAGCATTACAGATTAAGGCTTATTTTAGTAAATGCTGTGAACAGTAAAGTGTTGTCAATATTACAAAGATCGATGGCATCGAACAACAGCAAGCACACGAAAAGGATTTACAGAAAATGACCAGCAGGTGTCGCCCTGCAGCTCCCTCAGCTGTGATCACCTGGAGCCACTTAAGAAAACAGCTCCACTGAGTTCATCCTAAAGTGTTTCAAGACTCATCACACCTGATATGGTCTAGTTAGTTTTATGTCTACTCAAGACTGCCGACATTTGAACAAATTTCTGAGTAAAAAAAGGGGTTTTGCACCTTTGTAGCCACAGAATATTATATTATTATAATAGTGTCTGAAGCTTCTATCCATCCATACCGTATGTGTTGTGATTTTCAAAACTAGCCTTGATGGCAGATGCAAGCCAATAAGACTAAAGAGCCATATCATATTTTATTATTAATTTCTATTGTCCAGGTTTAATCAAATTTGCAAATAAAACAGCTGCTTTATGGAAACATGACGCCAATGTGTCCCTGAGCGTGCGACCTCTGACATGAATAGCAGCTGTAAGTCGCTTTGGATAAAAGCGGCAGCTAAATGAATAAATGTAAACGCAATGAACATAAAGCCAAAAAAAGAGAACGTGATAAAATATGATCTACTCCACTGTGTCAAAACAGCAACCAGCTTTTGTTAGTTTTAATAAAACACCAGGTAGTTATAGTCGCATTAGACTGAATCCCCTCTGTGAGCGTGCGTATTATCATGATGGAGAACCCAAATGCCTGTGCGTCAGAGATGAAAAATGGCGAAGGGGCAAATCTTTATAATATATATTTACCTTCACGGCGTGAAGTGCAGTTGCGTTTGGGGAGTGTCTTATTCTGTGAATAAGTCATGGGTGTGTAGGGCATAACATGCAATACACCAATCAGTGTCATCTCCCTTTCAAAGCCAGGTGCGCTTGCTATTATAATAGCGTATGAATGGCGCATTATGAAAAAAAAAAACAATTGACTGATTGAATTGCAGACTCACGGCAGAGAGAAGATATGGAAACAGCCTAAGTGTGGACGTGATATATAAACCACCTCTGATGATGAAGCCTCTGCTGCTCTGCAGTTTATCAGTGAAGTGTCGGAACTCCAGTCTGTTAACAGACAGACGCTGTCTCCTCTATGAACCGTCTGGATTCTCACTGTGCTGCGTTTATATAAACTATGAACCGGTTGTGGGTCACATCTCCCACACTGGTTTCTTTATGTTGTGTTTTATTGACGTATGAGTGTTTTCTTTAACGATTTACTTTCATGATCAGAGAGGCTGCTGTCGGTCATTTTAAACGTCATGTGCGCAAGTCACAACAAATATAGTGGAATATTTGAGCAGCAAAAAATAAAAAGGCTGAAGTCATTAACTTGACACAACAGGGCAGAGGAAACTGCAGAGGAACTAGAATTCAACTTTTAGCTCCTGAAATAATTTAGCTGCTCTGATGGCGCTCAGGACTGATCAGGAGGACGGCTGCTTTATTCCAAACTGTTTCTCTGGATGAACCTGGACTGTGTTTCAGAGATTGTTGTTTAAATAGCAGATTGTGGCCCATGGGAGTGTTAAAATAAGATGTGGTCACTCAGGAACATTGTTGGCGCATTCCTATTTTGAAGCAAGAGAAAGCGACTGTACCATTGACCAAACGGCAAAAGGCACAGTATTATTTGTTTGTTTTTGGGGGCGCATTACTCCACTTTACGCACGAGGCACGATTTACCCACGAGGCACAGCAACAACATAATATTAAAATCTCCCGAGAACTGACAGGATCGGTCAGGATCTAATGTTAACTGATGTTCTGTGTTCTTCTCGCACACAGTCCAGTGAAACTGGAGTAAAGCAGCGTCCTCCTGATCGATCCTGAGCCCCCTCAGAGCGTCTAAATTATTTCAGAAGCTAAAAGTTAAATGCTCTGCCTTCTGGAGAGTTTCCTCTGTCCTGTTATGTCAAGTTTATAACTTTTTTGCTTTTTTGCTTCTTGAATGCCCGACGATATTTGTTGCGACATTTAAAACAACGTTTTAAATGACTGACAGCAGCCTCTCTGATCATGAAAGTAAATCATTAAAGAAAACACTCATTCCGCAATAAAACACAAAATAATTAAACCACTGCAGGGAAGAGATATGACCCCCCGACCGGTTCATCATAGTTTCTAACAACGCAGCGCAGTGAGGATCCAGACGTTTCATAGAGGAGACTGTCTGTCTGTCTGTTAACAGACTCCTTGTTTGCGTTGCTGTGGGTGGGTCTGTCTCTCTCTTGCAGGTGTGTACCTGTACCCGCTGAGTGTGACGTGGGGTGGAGCTCACAGCTGGGGCCGATTAGTGGCGATTAGTGGGTCACATAAGCAGAGCCAGTGGCGTGCTCTCAAACGTGACGTCTTACTTCTCACTCATCCACTCACCCTCCCTTGGGTCGCATTAGTCTATGTGACTTACTGTGTGATCTACTTCGTGACTTGTAGGACGTGACCGGTGGGGTGCCGCTAGCAACCTCTCCTCGCGCCGTGAGGTCGGTGACTCCGTGGAGGCGGCATTCCCGATCAGTGGAAGCCTGTGGTGAGCGACGTGCAGCCTCCGTGTGTGCTTCCCCAGCGCGGTGGGAGCCGTGGAGTCTGTGTGGCCTATTGTGTCGCATCCTATGTTGTTTAGTTACTTTATATAATTTGCATCGTCTCTTGTGTGGGCAGACACAACCAAGGTACAAGTTTAATAAACACAATTGACAACGTAGGCTAATAGGCTACAAATACTATAATGATTACATCATTTCCAATTAAGAGGGGGTGTGCCTGGACGTTCTCGTTTGATCAGTGATGTGGGAAACCTCAGCCGCAGACAGCTTTGAACTGCAAATTTAGTGAAAGCAGAACTGAACTTAATAATAAAATATGATATAATTATTTAGTCTTATTGGGTTGCATCTGCCATCAAGGCTTTTTAAAATCACATCAGGTACCGGTATTGATGGGTAGAGGCTACTTGTGCTAAATGATGATCTATGGATACAAAGGTGCAAAGCCCCCCTTCTCTTTTTTTTTTTTTTTTTTTTTTTTTTTTTTTTTTTTACTCAGAAATTTGTTCAAATGTCGGCCGTCTTGAGTATAAAACTAACTAGACCATCTCAGGTGTGAGGAGTCTTTAAACACGGCAAGATGAACTCAGTGGAGCTCCAGGTGATCACAGCTGAGGGAGCTGCAGGGCGGCACCTGCTGGTCATTTTCTGTAAATCCTCTTTGTGTGCTTGCTGTTGGTTCGATGCCATCGATCTTTATAATATTGACAACACTTTACTGTTCACAGCATTTACTAAAATAAGCCTTAATATGCCAGGCTAAAATAAATAACACCGTTGTTTAATTCATTCCAGCACCACAAACTAGGCTACATGCTCCAAACTGATCATACAGCTGAATCGCCACCTCTCATAAACTGTTAATCTCTTAATCATGAAGGAGATTTATTGCATTATGTAATTAGTTTTCACTAATAAACTGTTTTGTTTTTTTGTGGAGACATTGCATCGTCTTAAGGCAAAGAGGGAGAACCACAGCAGGTATGGAAATTCTCTGGGAGAACCTTAATTTTGAAGAGTAGCCTGAAGTACATACAGAACTGATGGAGCACACTGTCCAATCAGAAGCAGGGGGTTGATGAAGTCCCACCCACCAATGAAAGGAAATATTGAGTAATAAATTTGTTTTGTCAGTAAGAAAGGAAAACGAGACACTGTGCTGAATTTGGTTTTGATTAAAAAACGAAAAATTAAACTGAATTGTTTTGTTTTTTTTTTGTTTGTTTTTTTCGTTTCGGATCAAAATTGAAAAAACGGAAGAACGACCGGTTTCTGGTTTCTGCCTTTGTTAATTATACCAAAATAACAAACGGTCAAAACGTACCTTGGTCTCACACTCTCTGGTCTGGGTATCTCTGGATAATCCGTAAATCCTTTGTAATACAAAAACGAAAATACCGTTTATCTGTTTTTTGTTTCAAAACGAAAAAACAAATAACCGTTTTTGGTGTCAGAATCAAAAAACGAAAAACCAATTAAAATCGGCCCGTTTTTCGGTTTTGGCGATTAATTTTATTCCTTTTTGAACAAAGAATGAAGAGAGTCTGTGAACTTCGTTATAAACCAAAAACGGAAGTTACGTGGTCTATTCCTTTTATGGAAGCAAAAGCAACCGGTAAAATCTTCAAAATAAAAGTAGCCCATGTGACATGTAATTAGAAAGGCGATTTTAGACTAAAACTAAAATAACGTTGTTGTTTTTTTTGTAAAAAATTAAAGTAGCACTGGGTGTGAAAAAAACACTTTAGCTAACTGAAATAAAAACAATAACTAATAAAATAATAACTGTTAGGGAGAATTAAACATTTGTAAGGCCATTGGTGACCTGTAACTTCAGATTAAGTGAACTAATGTTATATGTAGTTTAGGACAGCAGTTAGCCTGTTTATTTAAGTTTATATTATTTAATTAATGTTTTAGTTTTTTAACATCTTTATAGGCCTTCTTGCTATGTGGAAGCTCAATCAGCAGAGGTCACTTCTGTGGCGCCATCAGGCAATAAGGGTTTGACCTTTTGACTTGTGTTTATATCAAAGAGAAGGCTGGCACTGCTACCAAAGGAAGCTAATCACTGATTTTGAAGGGTGTGCAGAACTTCACCTGCCTTCCAGCTTCTCTTTGTATGGTGCTATAACTGCTAAAAACTCGCTTCAACAATCTACTGCTGCCCCTTCTGTGTCAACAACAAACAAAACGATTAATTAACAAAACTCTCAGCTTCCACCATCTACTGTTATGTGTCAAAACTCTTCCAAAACAAATCTGTAGAGTTGTAAACTTTTTATTTTCCTTTGCTATTTTCCCCAGTGTAATATACCTATTATGTTAGTAGATTAAATATTTTTAATGCAGCCTGTAGTTATGTAGGCCTACTTGTGTGTAAAACCTGCTAGCATTAATGCGTCAAAAAGCATCTTCTCTGGCTCTGGGATCTTTTACTGCCTTTTTGGGGTTTAGTTCTGTTTGATGAACCACCAGGGAAAGGCTGTGCTCTGTACTGTTCATAACCATGTAAAGTAAAATAAAATGTTAAGTTGAGTGATTTAGTTTTTCTCCTGGTACTCATTTCAGGACCTCCCAGAGTTTCCCCAATGCCTGGAGGATGTGAGCCTGTGCTGGGTTTAAGGACTGATGATAGTAGCAAGGCTGGCCCCAGTCACCTACTGTCACCATTCATCCATCCATCCATCCATCGCCAACCGCTTATCCTGCGTACAGGGTCGCGGGGACCTACTATCACTTTCTCTTCAAATAAATGCTGGACTGGCAGGACAAAGCAGAACACCACTCCTTCCTCCAGCACCATAAAAAGGGCCCTGTTGTCACTTTCAGATATTTACATCATGATTTATGGTAACCACACCTTGTAATTGTGGCACCGTGAGCAACACATCCTCCTTGTTCTGTTTTACATCTGCTTTACAGATGTTATTGATATACTTTAAATAATGTTCACAAATCTAGTTTACATAAAGTGTGGCGTGGGTGGTGTGTGCGTGTGGCTAAATCAGTATGTTAAAAAGCTTTAACATTTGGAGGCCCATGTCGAGCGTTCAGATCCAATAGTCTTCACATCATAAAATTGTCATTGCACACAAAGAGAAGGAGCTCAGGCATATTATAAATATGTATATAATATAAATTAATTCTGTGCTACTTGAACATTTTTGGACTACTGTCCTCCTTAGGAGAAAGGTTAGCATAGCGCTACAAGCAAATAAGCAAGCTTGGGAACAGATCCATGATATAATGTCTCATTTTAACCCATTGGATTTAATTTTTTTACAGAGCATCTCTTTACCAGAGAGACATGCTTTTCGACTGGAAAGGTGATTTATGAAACATCAAAATTTAAAGATCAGGTTTCGGGCAATTTTATTAACTACACAAGCTCAAACAATAAACAAACAAGATGGTAAGGCCAATGCTGCAGAGATGCTAAAGGATAAAAGCAAACTGTTACCAAAGCAAAATTGCCTCCAGGACGCTGTGACACCACCCACAGGTGTGCGCCACCAGCTAAAGACAGCAAGTCACACACATTTAACACCACACAGCTCTGTTAAAGGTCTGCATATAGCTATCATATACACACACACCACAACATGCAGTGAAGGGAAGAGGGGCTCCCACAGTCCACCACCCTGTCAGTCTGGCAGAACACTCGAAGAAGTGGGAAAAGGGCTCAGGGAATTCACGCAGCCCAAAACCAAGTAAACTGCCCCATCCTTAGCAGAACCTAGCAGTTGGCAAAAACCATTCACAGGGCCCATCCACCTGTAACAGAGTCTCATAAAAACAATCCCCATTTAAAATCAGGACACAAAAAGCCACACTTGATCAGGCAGGCAAAACAGCAGTGGCTATACAACCCTCAACTAATGCAGTAAATCATCCACCCAGCTCTGACTCCGCCTCATTCAAGGAGCAGACGTTTTAGCCAACTCAGCCTCCACGGCAATCTATGGTGAACTCGGGCAAAACAGGCCATGCAGTCTACAGGGTCTTGGCGACAGGTGGCTTAAAATGCCTGTAATAAAAACAATAAAAAAATTGTTTACAAAAGCTGCTCCCTGACCACGCTGCATCGAGAGATCCTGAGTGCTCCCTGAATATGAACTCTTAATGAGGTGATTGTCTTCAGGTGTGTGCTACTGGAGAGGCAGGGTGGAGCTTACCTGAGATTAATAAAATAACGCTCTGAAGTGGTTACCTTATACATTTTTCTTAGAGTCAGTTACACACTTTAGTTAACTGAAATACAAATTAAAACTAATAAAATGATTACTCTGGTTGTTAGGGAGAACTAAACATTTGTAAGACCACTGGTGACCTGTGACTTCAGATTAAGACAAGTGTGATGTTATATGTAGCATAATATAGCAGTTAGCCTATTTATTTAAGTTTCTATTATTTAATTCATATTTTAGTTTCGTAACTTATTTATAGGCCTTCTTGCAACATGGGAGCTCAACCAGCAGAGGTCACTCTACAGAAAACAAACAAATGTGTTTTTTTAACCTACTGTGCTGTTAAAGTAAAGAACACAGTTATGAGTCAGTATGGGTTGGTGCAGTCATTTATTACGCAGTAAATCAAACCATGCATACTGTAGACATAAAATACAGTTACATTTATATATGCAGATTTCATTCTTATACTGTTATAAAATTAACAATGAAAACCTTCATCAAAGAAATAAAGTCCAAGTCTAATGCTGTCCAGTGCACGTCAAATCAACCCCTATATGAAAAATGACAAGAGAAGAGGGAGACAGCATACAGTACAATCGTATGTGCATTCCAGTAATGCTTGTTTTAAATAATGATAATTTTTTTGGTGTGAAAACAACTCTGCTCAGACACTTTGTATCAAAGTCATCAGTTGACGCCTTTAGCCTTCAGCTCCTCTCTGACTCTGCTCAGGTAGCTGGGGTCAGGATACCCAAAACTGTTGAAACAGAGTATGTATAAGGGTTAATATATAACATTTCTAACATTTCAGTGGACTTCACATAAAAAGAGAATATTTATTTTGGCTACTGTACCTCTCTGGTCCTCCTTTAGTCGAGGTCTTGTGATGAATGTCGTTCCAGGTCACCTGGTCCTCAATCCCAGTCGTTCTGGACGTCCCAACAGTGAAAATGAGTTTCTGGTCAAACGCTCTTTTCAACAGACACAGCACTTCTTTGCCCTCCATGTTGTCTGGCAGATATGCTGTTCTCATAATACCAGTGTAGTGCTTTCCAGGTTTTGGATGCTTTTCCTGCAAAAGGAGAGTGAAACACAGATTTAACTGACAACCATGTTAGAAATGAACTTCCAAGTTACAAAATTGACACAATGTCTCCAGATATTTAAATGAAAACATTTACCGTCTGTCTACCACTTGGAATATCATAGGTGATGATTATAGTGCCGCAGTCTGGGAATCCAGGGAGGGGTGAGGAATATGAATGCCATGTCATGTTCCCATCTGGCTGGTCTCCCTCCATCACACCAAAGACATCTTTGCATACAGGACAGATGGGTCCCATGGTTTCCTCTGATCGTGCCAGGCATTCCTCACAAAATTCATGTTTACACTTGAGCTGCTTCTTATTTGTAAACATATCCATGCATATAGGACAGTTTTCATCTTTACTGTCTCCTGCTGTTGCTCCCTCTCCTGTGGGTGCTTGAGTGTTGTGCTTGCTGTATTCTGATTGGCCATTCAACAGAGGTCCACTGGAGGACCCCTTTGGCTGATTAACACTGCTCATGTTCTCCTGTGATCTGCTGAACCCAGTGGCACCACGGTCTTGGCTGAAGCTCAGAGGTGAAGTGGCAATCTTCTGGTACAGATGAAGGAGAGCTCTGACAGCGTGGCTCTCCATTGACACATTTCCTCCAGATCTTCTGTAGCAAGCTTTGACTTTGACTTTGCCTTGACTGATTTCTGATGCAGAAAAGTCCACACCAAACTTACATTTGATCTTAGCTACTTGTTCATCATAGGAAGTAGTCATCAGCCTCCAGCAGCCCTCCTCCATGGTTAGTCCAGCATCCGCGAGAGGGTCTGTGATGCTCATGCCAATATTTAGTGATGTGTCTTCAGCAGTCTTCGTGTTGGTATTTGTTAAGGTTTTCTGTGTTACATTTAAGGACTTACTGATAGCATCTTGACTTTGTCTTGGCCCACATACGGCCATTTCTTCAGAGGACAGGGTAAGCAGAAGCTTGTTCTCAGGTCTCGTGATGATTTTCAGTGAGTCCTTCCACTCTTCTGGATCTACGTACTTGAGAGGAATTACTGAGCCACTGGATTCACTCAAGCTCTTTTGGACCAGGCTAATGAACTCAGACGAAGCTTTTTTTGGGCATCCATCTTTGTCTGCTACAAATTTCACAATTACTTCTGTCTCCATTTTAATTCCATTCTCTTTCTTGATATGTTGAATTTCCTCCTTGTAGATGTGGTTCACATACCAGAAATGGCTCACTGGGACAGAACAAGTAAATGTCTCCTCTCCTGCTGTGGAAACTGCTCCTGCACTGCTGAAACTACTTTGTTCCACCTGCTTCACTTGCGGCCGCTTAAAGATACAATGCATTTATTTAGTAAAAAGCATACATTTTTTATGTAATTTATTCTGATTTACTACATCTATATGTACTATATCTCTTACAGAAAAACATACAAGCCGGCTGGAACTCGACCTGCATTTTCCAAGCACTGATTTGTACTTCCAAAAAACTGCCTATGTCTTGAAAATAGAAAAAATGTACTCGCTGTTGTGTTACTGTTTCCGCAACCCACGCCAGTTTTAAAATCGAAAACTAGACTTGCACCAGACTGGTTAAAGTAATGAGTGTTCTTAAAAATTTTAGTGCACACATGCAAATACCTACCTCCGCAGACTTAAAATCAGATGTTGGAGGCTGCTGGTTTTCATTCCCCTCAGTACTCTATACCAACCATGGTGGAAGAGAGGATATTAAAAAGCAATCATTTTTAATGTAATTAATTCCAATTGATTTACTACACAGCACATACATTTTGTGGCTCTGAATCGGATGAAGCAGGAGGGTACATTGAAGCATCCTCTGGTATTTGTGTCTTCATCTCTGGTTGTTTCAGACCAACAGACAATATTGTGAAGGATCTTTTCTCATCTTTGCTGGTCAGTGTTTGTCCACTCAGTTTCTGAAGCTCACTCACGGCTTAAAAAGAAGACGAACGCAAAATAAATTTGAAGAAAAGAACAACAAACTGAATTGCAAAAACAATTTTAATACAGGATGCAGCTTAAAATGTATTGTATTAGAGTCAACATCAAATGTTTGTAAAAAATGTGTTGTTAATTTTTGCTTAAAAAGATACTTACAGATAGATACTGCTCCTGCAGCGGGTTTAATGCTGATCACAGTGTGCCCATCGTTTGAGACATGTAAAACTTTGTAGTCTCTTTTAATTGTGCTTTGGTTGGACCAAGTCTGAAGAACTTTCTCTAGATCTAATTTATATTTCTGTGGTTGAGCACCATCTGACAACTTGACTGAGAGAAAGACTTGAACTTCATCTTCGTTCTGTGATAAAGTCATCAGAGCCAGAAAACATGTTACAGTAAATGCCACTGTATTACTAACAAGATAGCAGAAAATCCTCTATGCCATTCAGCTTAAAAGGTCTGTTTTAAAAATAACTTGAATTGTAAGAATAGAAAACACAAAGTGAAAGACTCCACTGGCACAGTCTCAAAACAGAGAAAAAGCAATTGATTACATTTTTGTCATACTTTTTAATTATATGCAGTGACTTTTAAGCATGTTCTGTATATGACATTGGAGGTAATACACTATACTGTATTTGTATAGATGTGTAAAAATAGCTAAACTAAACTAGCATTGCTTTAATGACATTAGTTATACAAAGAGTTGATAACACAGTTGCTATGCAATATGATAAGTAGATAGCAAAAGACTGATTATTTGGGACTAGCATCTATCCTGAGTCTTGTGCCTTCATTTTCATTCTTTCACTTTCACCTACACATTACAGAGAAACATACCACCCCACTGGAACTCCACCTGCATTTTGTAAGCACTGATTTTTAGTTTTGAGAAAGTGCTCATGTCTTGGAAAAAGAAAAAGATCAGTCTGCCACTGTTTCCAAACTCCAAACCAGTTTTAAAATCAGAAACTGGACTTGCAACATACTGGCTGAATAGTGTTATTGAACATGTTAGTGCACACCTATACTCACACAAATCCCTGCCTCAGCAGACTTATTGTCAGATGTGGGAGGCTGCTGGATTTCACTTTCCTCAGTACTCTATATGATCCATGATGGAAGACAGGATATTAAAATTAATTTAATTATGGCAATTTTGCAAATAATACTTATAAACACAACAAATCTTAAACAGTAGGCTACTCTTCATATTGCAGGCAGCGACTGGGACTATTCAGATATCAATATTTATACAACAACAAATTTAACAGTTTTCTTTCATGTTCAACTAAAGTTTGCAGACTTGTCAGATGCTGCTACTCACAACATCCATGGGCTCCTCTGCGTCACTGCCTGACATTTTGACAGTCTTCTTCCTTTAAGACAGAGCAAATACTTGTGACATAAATAACAGCAGTGTTTTTCGTAGTTATGCTTTCAGAACATACAACCAACACTTTTGTGTAAATACAAAACACGCACAACACGAGAGATTCTTTGTGAAACGTCGATATTATATTAAAAACGAACAGCATCGCTCGACTCCACTTTCGGTTACGACAGGCTAATGCAAACTTTTACTGGCTATGCTATAACTTTACCTTCCATTGTTTTAATTTGCTATATTTCTAACACAACGTTATGCAACAAACAAAAGTCTATCGTTTCAAAATTCATACGGCACGTAAAACATGCATTTACGACCCATTTGCCTCACCTTCTCCTGGCTTTACTTTACACGCTGCGTCTTCCTGATAAATGAAAACGAAAGCGTTGTAGCTCCGCGAGACGACTGACGTCACACTGAAAGCCCCACACCATTACAAACAAACGCAGCTGCTGCGGACTTTTCTCTATTGATAACAGAAGTCATCAGCTCGGAGGATAATTTTTTTTTATCGGGATGTTACATTTTTCTGAATCCTGTATCATTTTTCAACTTAAATGATCAGTTGAAAGATATTTCATATATAATAAACCTACAGTAGACCTGATATTTAAATATTAAAATGATCACTGTATATCACAAAAAGAATAGTTGTGTTATATTTACTACCTTAAGAAGTGATAAAATATACACAGTAGAACTAGTAATAAACATGAATCTGTTTATTTTTGTAACCATCTTTCAACAAACAGTATTTGATCCGACCCATAATCTTTGCAAATATACACTAAATAAAACATAGCATGATTAAAGTGTGACGTCGGTGTAACATATACATGTCTTGTAGAAAAAGGAATCTTATAAAAATCTTCAAAAGCAATTTCAAACACAAAGTGCTGTGAAATATAAAATAACTCAATGTAAGACTAAAATATTAAATCAATGAAAACAGCATTGGCATTTTGAGCAGTACATAAAAAACACAAGTCTAAACATTTTACTACACTTCAAACAAAATACTCTCAGATTTAAAACATTCTTGCAGCAAAAAAGCAACATGAATTGGCCTCTTCATCTCTTCTTATAATAAAGTAACCGTCACTCAGTACAAAATTGCACTTTATCCTCATCAACTCAGCTACTTCAGCCTATTTATCTTTGGTGAGAGTATGGATGTATGTGAATACACAGTGCAGTTCAATTCTATACTACATGTTAATACACAGAGAGCTGGGTGGATGCAGGTAAGGCTGCCACAGTGGTACTGTGTGCAAAGGTGGGAAGGAGAAGGCATCAGTGTGAGCTGCAGCAGTGGCACAACGCCAAGATGAGTGACGACGACATCACCATCAGCGTACTACTTCATCAGCAAGCAGAACGACTATTCAGCTTCATCTTTCAGAGTGAACCTGGAATAAACAGAGGGATGAAAATCAAATGAAAACTGACCGAATTAAATTATCACCAATGATATAATAAATGGCAATCATTAAACAAACTAAAGAAGAAGCGAGACTCCTCCCAAAATGTCCACAACTACTCTTGCAGGATAATCAACTTCTCTGCGGTCCATACTGTATGCTCATTATGTTACAAAATACAAAACTTAAGCCTCCTCGATGCTCCACTGGAGGCAGTGAACTTGGAACACTGTGAACTGAGCATATAGGTGGATAGCAGACAAGGGGTTTATGGTTTGAGAAGTTTCTATGCATGTTTTGTTTCTATCATGAAATGTCATTAATCCGAGCTGACCACAGCCTCGGTTCTCCGTCAGCAATGAAGCTATGAACTTTTGCAGCCACCTTTCAAGTCAGCACATAGTGAAAATATATTCATACAAAATATTGTACATAGAGTATCATTTCAACAAAGTTCAATCTGCTCACCATTCTGTGACACCAGAAATCAGGTCAAGCTGAGCCAACTCGATCTGCACCTAAAGGACAGGAGTGAGATGTTATCTGTATAAGCTGTATTTATGCATGTATTCAGTGCATATCAGAGTGAAAGACTATGGACATACTTCAAAACATTCAAGCAATGATTTAAGTTACAAGCCAGGCTAGCACAAGTGTACAGCCTTTAGATATCCTGATCGTTGCTTGTTAGCTTTTCGCTGATATACTGCATGTGTGTGATATGGTACATTTTAATCCGTATCAATGTTTGTAGGCGGAGGTAGAAGAAGAGTCCCAGACTGACCTGTCCAATGACGTCGCGGCTCCTGAATGAGGCAGAGTTATTCTTCACTGATACACTGAGGCATCTGAATCTCGTCTCAGCCACAGGCAGATCATACTCAAACCTTAAAGACGTGGACAAAGATGATTAAACATGAGCACTAACACTAACAAACCTGCACAGGAATGTAAGGAACAATACAATCAGCCAATTAGTTAATTACCTCTCATTGTATTCTGGGTTGAGGTCTCTTTTCTTTACTGCTGTCTTCTTCTTAGTGGCCTTGCTTTTGTCTGGCAGCAGCATGAGGGAGACATAGCTGTCTACACCATCCTTGCTATGAGACAATAGACCTCTGTAAGCAGAAAAAGAAAGAATATCTTAAATAATTTGATATGTACAAGACACATCATTTTTCATTTGAGCTGTCACCAAAAATGTCCAAATAAAGGCTATTTATACCAACAGTAGATTATAGGTGAGAAAACAACCTGACTGAAAGCATTTTGGTACGCTATTTCAGGAAGCAGACCTGCAGGCATGGACGATGACGATGAGCTGTCTCTTCTGCGAGGCATAGGAAAGAGACAACTTCACCTGTCCATTTCCAGAGGCCGCACAGGGCAGAGTGCCTGTACTGATCATATCTACCATTTTGGAATCTAGAATCTATTGAAAACAAATTCAGAAAAGGATAAAGTATCAATATTTATAACAAAATACTTGTGTGTGTGATGAGGCAGATGTGTTTGCTTTCTCACCTTGAGTTCAGCCCTCAGCAGGATCTGACTCTCAGATGAGGCTCCATCCAGATAGAACCACTGGTCCAGGACCAGCTGTGGCTGAGCGAGCAGCTCCTTGACAGGAACCACCAGAGATCCCATCGGCTGGTCCCAACCACTGGACAACTGCAGTACGAGAGAGAGAGAAAGAGAGAGAGAGAGAGATAGAAAGAGATGAAAATTCACTACAACATGACTGCTGTTAAAAGTGAGATGCAGATCTTTCAAACAAATGAATGTCTTGCCTTTACTACAAGCATCTGTTGCTTAGGGTCATGGACCAGAAAGTAGAAAGACTCCTTCCACTGAGGACTGGTACTCCGCTCACACAGCTTCAGAGAGATAATATATGCATTATTACAATAATAATATATTTATCAAAATGGCAATAGAGCACCGTGCATCAAGTGTCTCACTTTGGTTTTGTAGGTTGTTTCACCCAGAACTAGCTCAGCTCCTGCTTTGGGCTCCTTTCCACTCTTCTTAAACTATCAAGGAATAGAAAAGTATTCAAGGTATATTACAGTAGGAATTACCTTTGTTAACTACAGCACAGAATGTAAATAAACTGCAGGTGACTCACAGGTAACGAGTGTGCTCTCTCTATATGGACCAAGAGCAGAGCAGCAGTGGGGACAGCTTTATTCTGATAAGACTGGAGAGATTGAAGCTGCAGCACCTGCAACACGGAGCACAGACAGTTAAGCCTGATAAACATGTTGCAATGTGAATAATGTGCCCTGCATGTTGGAATGTGACCTATCAGCTTTATCTAGAAGGCTGAAGACACTTCATTAGTCCATGTTTAAAGAATGTTTGAATAAACAGAGTGAGGCTAAAGCTAGTGGGAGATGAACTGTAAACAAAAGTAACAGCCGACCTGGTCAAGTCTGACTGAATTTGACACTGTAGGAACCCATTCCAGGATCAAGTGAACACGCCCAGACTTCACATCGTTCAGAGTGTACCACTGTAACAGAGACACAGTCAATTAAAGAAGCAGGGCAACACCCTTTATATAAGGAAATAGAACTCACATGACTTTAGAATCTGAATTATTGACTAACCTGATCCGTGTACTTGGATCTAATGACCTCATTTAGCTGAATACTGAATCTGTGAACATGAAAACAGATTTTAATGTCTTACTTTCAAAAGAAAAGATTTGCTATGCTGACATTAAATGGTACATTAACGCTATGTAATGAAAAGAGCAGAAAAACAATCGTGTAAATATTTAATAAATTCACCCACATCTAATATTCAGTTTTTATTGATGTTGGCGTAATGGGACTATTTTCTTTTTAAAAAGTACAAGTCCCATCTTGCTAATCTAGCTATTCTTGTTCTAAAATTTGATTTATTTTACTTTCCCTGTGATAATTCCCACCAATCAAAGTCAAATATTGTATTTAAGGTATTAATAAAGTATAATGTATATCTTCTCAAGAACATTTATGAAACTAACTAACTAAATAAAAAACTAAGCATTTATTATTTATTTTCATATATTTCAGTGCAAAAATATGTACAGTTCAGGCATATCTCTGTTTTTCACCATGCAGATCAATGTACAAAGGACTCTACATGTTTTATCTTGAGAGCCAATATAAGTTACAGATTAACCAACTTTAAGATACACACCTGCCAAGGAAGTCATCAGAATCTAAATCCTTATCAAATGCTTCAAACTTGATCTCCTGGACACTGTGCCCAGCCAAAACCACCTGTTAAAAACAAACACAAATCCATGTATGTCCAAAATACTGTACATGCAGTGAAATCCAGAAAATGTACTTAAAGTGAGACTACCTCATACCTCATACATTTCATTCCATGTTGGATTGAGATTCTCCTTAATAACATGGCTCTTGAATGCAACTTTCCCCACATTGATCTTAACATAGGGGTCACTCTTGCCCTTCACCATGCCCCCCATCAGGCTGTCCTTTGCAACCAGATTCTGGGCCTCCAGCAGGTGAATCCTCAGCAGCCCCTACAGGATGAAGACAGTAAGTGTTAAAGTACATACAGGAAGGAGACATACAGTATGGAGCTTGGTAATGTGAAGCTACTATTCACATGAGAGAGAGAGAGAGGGGTTTCAGAGCGACACAGCTAGAAACAGCATGAATACCACTGGACTACAAAACAATGGAATTCTTGGACCCCAACAAGGATTTATTTAAACCTATTCATCAGCCCTGCATAAATGACACTTTGAACAGACTGATCATATTACTTTTAAGAACACATAATGCCCCGGTAGTAAGTGGATGTAATGGATACATTTTGTCTAGTCAAAATTAGGTTTATGAGAACTTGTTTTTACATGAATAAATGCCTCTCCTTCAGACTTCTGTACATTGTAAAAATTATGAAGTGGTTGGCACATTATTTTTATTTTCCTGTCTAGACATCCCTCTTTTTGATTCTAGCTGGCATGACACAG